GTGAGAGGAAATACACTGTAATATACGGTGTGTTGGTGTGGAGTGAAATTTTACCACGTAATTTACGGGTGTTGGTGGAGAGTGTAATACCACTGTAATGTACGGTGGTTGTGGTAGAGTGAAATACCACTTTAATTACGGGGTTGTGTGTGAGGCGTAAACCACTTTTAATTTAGGGTTTTGTGTTGTGTGGAGGCTATACCCTGAAATATACGGTGTGTTGGTGTGAGAGTGAATCACTGAAATATACGGTGTGTTGTGTGTGAGAGCGTAATACCATGTAATTACGGTGTGTTGTGTGTGGAGCTTTAAATCCCACTTTTTAAATTACAGGTGTTGTGTGTGGAGTGTAATACCACTGTAATGTAGGGTTTTGTTTTTCTGTTTTAAAGGTTCAGTGAGTTTCTTATGCAGTAATTTTTTGCGTGTACCCTTTTAATATATTTCTGTCATTTTGTATGAAAATTTTTTTTAAAAAAAAATATAAAAAAAAAGATCCCAGATTTCTTTTTGTGTGTAAAAAAGCTTTTTGGCACAGTTCCCATTTAGCAATGTAAATTTTGATTTACCCAATTTTTTAAAACAAATGACCAAAGCCGTTAAAAGATAATTATAAAAGTTTTATGAAAACAGACCTTCAGTTTATTCATTCAACGCAAAATCACTTTTTCCCAAAATTTTCAGAGAAGGATTTATTCACGAACTTGGCAGCAGTTATATCCAATTGAATTTGTTTGGGCGATTTCGGTGATGACGACGAGGGAAAATAGAAAGTTTCAATATAAAAGTTTAGATAGGAAAAGAAAAGGTGGTGGGTTGTGCTACATTGAAAAGACTTTGCTTTTCAACCCAAGACCCGATTTAAATAAAAAATAAAAAGAAAAATTTTTTGGTTTGAGTATGCTTCCCCGACCCCCAACCCCTCTTAGTGGAACTAGTTACCGCCCTCTTACCCAGGACCAGTTTTAGAAGACTTTTCAAGAGTCTTGTCCAGACTTAAAACAAGCGGACAAAAATCGGGGGGACACAATATCTGTTTTCAGCGCAAAATAAAGGGCTTGTAAACGGTATAAGAAATTTTTAGGTTTAAATAGTTAATCAACTAATTAAAACACCAACCCCCAACACAAGTTCTCAGCCACCCAATTGACCACATACTTTGTAATGCACTGAGAACATTGTCAGCAGGGCGTCATTACCACAGGTTTTTTGATCATTTTATGATTTTTTGCACCCGAAAAATCCTAGGGGTAGGATGGCCTAAAGGACAATAAAAAAAGAGGTCAATAGAAATACAGTAAAGAAAAACCCGGTAAATAGGCACACAATTTTGGGGGGACAGAGTAAAAGTTGGTGGACGTAAAAAGATGCCTGGGAAAAAAATTCAAAACAATGTTCATACCATCCTTGTAATTTGCACCAGTTAAAGAGGTTAGGATTAACGAAGAATGAACCCCGGATGCTACTGAGATATTTGATATGAAATTTGAGACCAGTGTAAAAAGATTTAAAGCAAAAAAAAACAAAAAAAATTGCAGCACTAAAGAATTCCAAAAGGGTGAGGAAAAAAGAGTGCAGAGACTTATAAAAAAGGGGTAAGGCAAAACAGTATGCCAAAATTGAAGAGTATAATCACAAAACCTAGAAAGCTCTGGCAACAAATAAAAACGTTGGGGTATAGCCCTAAACCAGTGATTTAAAGTCTAACAAAGTACTCACTATCGAAACGAGGTTTTACCCCGAAAACTAAGGTGGTAAATTTTTTTTAATTCCCACTACCATTCGTTTTCATCAACACTAGTAAGTAAATACGCTGCATCAAATAATTTAAAACAGACTGAGATAAGTTTTAAACTACATACCAATAAAAGGGGAACCCAAACGTTGTCAACTAGCAAGTGTATCTCTGACTTTATTCAAAAGATCTAATGGTTAACCCAACAAGGCACGGCCCCGATAAAAACCCCTCTAAGTTCCTAAAAGTTTGGGGCTTTTGAATTTCATTCCCCTTTTTGCTCACATAAAAATTTGTCCATCACCTTTAAAACCGTACCGGAGGGGTTCAAGGAGGCCAGAGTTTTTTCGTCTCTTCAAAAAAATGTAGGTCTGTGTAAGCAAAATATGGCCCGTTGTATAATCAGTGTAAATCCAAAAAAAATTTTAGGAGGGCGTGTACTTTAAGTGTTAAGTACCTTAAAGAAACAAAAAATTTTTCCCTGTGTCAATAGGCTTTAGAAGATCTTACTCAAACCCAATCCTCCCTAATTTTACTGTAGATTTCTGAGAAAGAAATGTCAATTCAATGTGGAACCCCAAAAGGTATGGTAACCCTTGCCTCGAAAGGCCTTCGTACTGTCAACCACAAATAATTGTAAAAAATTCAAGCTATCGGTTAGGTTCTTTTGATGGAGGCAAAATTTTCAAAAAACAAAAAAACAGAATCAGAACCCCCGCCGAAGCTGTGGGTTCCCCCAAAGGGAGTATTTGGGTCCTTATTTTTCTATGTAGTTAATGACTGCTTTCAGTATCAAATGCAAACCCCCGTAGCAGATGCGTGTGTGTTGTGTCAGGTAAAAATAAAAACATAAGAAAGAAAGGGAAAACTGCAAAAAGGCCTATGACCCCCGCGGGCAGGTCATGTCCCCCCCCGGTTAGACCAATGACCACGACCTCAAATTTGCTAAAGTGTTAAAAGGGCTGAAAACCTGCAGAAAGGTTGGTGACAAAAACCTTTTTCGGGAAAAAAAAAAAAAAAAAAAAAAAATTTTTTTTTTCCCTTATTTACCTCGAAAATTGGGGCCTTCCCGTGCAGGGGAATTAAACTGAGAAAAAAAAAAATACCAGTGGTTTATGAAAACACATTTTCCCATGGGTCGGGAATTTTTTTTGCCCATTGTGTCAAGGAATTGTTTAGGTAATTGTTTAAAAAAAAAAAGACTGAATTCCCAAACAAACAGTGTTCTCTGGGCCCGGGGAGGAATGTAGGGCCTTTACAGCATTGGATAGTTTTTAAAGAAGGTAAAAAATGAAGCTAATCAAAAAACCCACATGTAGAATTCTTTCCCGAAATTTTTGGGGGGAAAAAAAGGAAACATGTTTTGGGGGGGAAACACAATTTGTAGTAAAGTAGGGGAAGGTTAAAACACCATTTTTAAGAAAAAAAGAAAAAAATGCTAAAAATGTCAAAATCTTGCTGAACCCGTTGAAACCAAAAAGGGGGATAATAGTTTCTAAGGGGGGAAGATTTTTTTAGGGACCAAAATTTTTTCCAGCCAACATTTTATTGACGCCAAAAAGAAAAGGGAAAAGCTGCCTAAAAAATGCCCCGGGGCCCGCCATGGGAATCGCTCAAGAACGCAAAAAAACCCCATAAGTTTTCATTAGGAAGGGGGGAAAGGGGGTTTTTTAAAAAAAAAAAGCCCCCCCAAAAGGGGGGTTTTAACAAAAGCAAAAAAACGGAAAAAAATTTAAACCCTACCAAAAAACTTTTTAAAGGGTTTAAAAGCGCCCACCCTCTGCCCCAGCCAACCCCGGGAAACTGGGTTTAGAACAGGTTCGCCTTTTCCAACTATTTGGTAAAATGACAAGGTTTCAAGGAAAAAAAAAAAACAGAATAGGCCCAAAACCTTTCCAAAATGGGCCTGGGGAAAGCACAAAGGGGAAAGGGAATACAGGAAAAAAATAGGACTAAATTTTCCCCATACCAAAAAAAAATCTTTGAAAAGGGGGTTTCCAAAGGGAAGATCACCCCATCTTGCCCATCCTTAACACAAACAAGGGCACCAAGGTTTTTTTTGGGGCAGTCGCTCTGCTTCTTCAACTAAATTGGGGATCAACCAAAATTTTTGGGGGCCCAAAAAAATAGAAGCAAAAAAATCAGAAGGTAATAAAAATTAAACTTTCATTTAAGTGGAAAAAAAATTTGGCCCAAAATAGAGCGAAACACCAACGTCAAAGACCGGGAGTGATCATGTCGGAGGATCTCACCTTCAAGGACCATAACATTGTATCAATCGCATCTGCTAGAAAAATGACAGGATGGATAATGAGAACCTTCAAAACTAGGGAGGCCAAGCCCATGATGACACTCTTCAGGTCACTTGTTCTATCTAGGCTGGAATATTGCTGCACACTAACAGCACCTTTCAAGGCAGGTGAAATTGCCGACCTAGAAAATGTACAGAGAACTTTCACGGCGCGCATAACGGAGATAAAACACCTCAATTACTGGAGCGCTTGAGGTTTCTAAACCTGTATTCCCTGGAACGCAGGAGGGAGAGATACATGATTATATACACCTGGAAAATCCTAGAGGGACTAGTACCGAACTTGCACACGAAAATCACTCACTACGAAAGCAAAAGACTTGGCAGACGATGCACCATCCCCCCAATGAAAAGCAGGGGTGTCACTAGCACGTTAAGAGACCATACAATAAGTGTCAGGGGCCCGAGACTGTTCAACTGCCTCCCAGCACACATAAGGGGGATTACCAACAGACCCCTGGCAGTCTTCAAGCTGGCACTGGACAAGCACCTAAAGTCAGTTCCTGATCAGCCGAGCTGTGGCTCGTACGTTGGTTTGCGTGCAGCCAGCAGCAACAGCCTGGTTGATCAGGCTCTGATCCACCAGGAGGCCTGGTCACAGACCGGGCCGCGGGGGCGTTGACCCCCGGAACTCTCTCCAGGTAAACTCCAGCTAACACACGTATAATTTTACATGTAATTTTACCTTATTCCTAGTAATGACCCTCGTATTGTAGATAGTCTTTATGACCCTCGTGTAGTAGATAGTCTTAATAGTATGATAACAAGTTGTTATTTCCTTCATAGAATAATAATAAGATATTATCACCTCTATATTATAATAATAAGGTAAAAGGACCCCAATGGAAATAAGTCAATTTTTTTTGGTTATCCTGGATGGTATTTTACACATATGCTGCTATGTATGGTAATCTATGTAACTGTATTTGAGTATACCTGAATAAACTTTCTTACTTGCAAGACACAGTAGTTCTGGGTAGTTACCTGTACTGCAGCACGATTGCAACTGCTTCTACTGTGTTATCATGTCTTTATATAGCAGTGCATGTCATGCCCGTGACCCTCAGCACAACCATCTCCCCCACTCCTCCCTCCGTACTATGTCGGAGTGAGTGGAATTAAGTAATTTTTAGAGAATGATCTGTTTCGGTGAGATCACGTTAACCTTTATGATGGAATTCAGGAAAACCAGTTACCCGGACTTTATTGCTGTAGGTGGGAAGTATAGTGCCAGGTGCCTAGTTCCTCGACAAAGGGGTTGGGGTGGGGATATACTTCAGTGTTTTGGGGAATGTCATATCAGTAGACTTCTGGAAAGTCAGCTACTGATTGCATAATTGTGTATGTGTTTCCTTCTTTTGGATAATCTACCTTGGTAGCAATACATAGGATATAATACAAAATATTAAGCTGAAGAGTGGACGACATCAAGGCTGGTTCCTCGTTTTTCCTTGAAATAATAAGTTTACCTTTAGTTACTAAAACAAGAAAAACAAAGACACAGAGAACGTCTGCCTAATAACGTATTCCATCAAGAACATTAGTGTTGATAACGTATATTTGATAACATATGGAAATGACACATCAACCTCGTTTAAATATATATCTGATAAGGATTATCAAATTCGCTAGATGAATTCCACAGTAAATTATAACCTGATTATGAAAGGAACATTGTTCCTAATTTTAATATTTCCTTTGTATACTCGATACTAGATGCAGTGAATGATTACTTTTTTTCAAAATTTGCAACCTAGTGCAAACTTGAAGACTGTTACTTCACACACTCTAACACATATATGTAACAGTTCTGTGTTGATGTGAAAACTACTGTATCCTCATTAGCCATTTTTGTTGTTGTTGTTGTTGTAGCTTGAAATATTTTTCTCAAATTATTAACAGAGATTATTTTACACACACAACACACACACAACACACACACACACACACACACACACACACACACACACACACACACACACACACACACACACACACACTACAAAGGGATCTGGATAGGCTGCAGACCTGGTCCAGCAACTGGCTCTTGGAGTTCAATCCCACCAAGTGCAAAGTCATGAGGATTGGGGAAGGGCAAAGAAGACCGCAGACGGAGTACAGTCTAGGGGGCCAGAGACTACAAACATCACTCAAGGAAAAAGATCTTGGGGTGAGTATAACACCAGGCACATCTCCTGAAGCGCACATCAACCAAATAACTGCTGCAGCATATGGGCGCCTAGCAAACCTCAGAACAGCATTCCGACATCTTAATAAGGAATCGTTCAGGACCCTGTACACCGTGTACGTTAGGCCCATATTGGAGTATGCGGCACCAGTTTGGAACCCACACCTAGCCAAGCATGTAAAGAAACTAGAGAAAGTGCAAAGGTTTGCAACAAGGCTGGTCCCAGAGTTAAGAGGTATGTCCTATGAGGAGAGGTTAAGGGAAATCAACCTGACGACACTGGAGGACAGGAGAGATAGGGGGGACATGATAACGACTTACAAAATACTGAGAGGAATTGACAAGGTGGACAAAGACAGGATGTTCCAGAGACTGGACACAGCAACACGAGAACACAGTTGGAAGTTGAAGACACAGATGAATCACAGGGATGTTAGGACGTATTTCTTCAGCCACAGAGTAGTCAGGAAGTGGAATAGTTTGGGAAGCGATGTAGTGGAGGCAGGATCCATACATAGCTTTAAGCAGAGGTACGATAAAGCTCATGGTTCAGGGAGAGTGACCTAGTAGCGACCAGTGAAGAGGCGGGGCCAGGAGCTTGGACTCGACCCATGCAACCTCAACTAGGTGAGTACAACTAGGTGAGTACACACACACACAGAAAGAAACAAGTGTATAATTGACAACCAGCACGGTTTCAGGGAAGGAAAATCCTGTGTCACAAACTACTAGAGTTTTATGACAAGGTGACAGAAGTAAGACAAGAGAGAGAGATGTGGATCGACTGCATTTTTTTGGACAAGAAGTTACTGCAAAATCTAGAGGATCAGGCACACATTTAAAAGGAAAGGCACTGCAATGGATCAGAGAATACCTGACAAGGAGACAACAACGAGTCATGGTACGTGACGAGGTGTCAGAGTGGGCGCCCGTGACAAGCGGGGTTCCACAGGGGTTTGTCCGAGGACCTGTGCTGTTCTTGGTATATGTGAACGACCTAACGGAAGGGATAGACTCAGAAGTGTCCTTGTTTGCAGATGATGCGAAGTTAATGAGAAGAATCAAATCGGATGAGGATCAGGCAGGACTACAAAGAGACCTGGACAGGCTACAAGCCTGGTCCAGCAACTGGCTCCTTGAGTTTAACCCTGCCAAATGCAAAGTCATGAAGATTGGGGAAGGGCAAAGACGACCACAGACACAATATAGTTTAGATGACCAAAGTCTGCAAACCTCACTCAAGGAAAAAGATCTGGGGGTGAGTATAACACCGAGCACATCTCCTGAGGTGCACATCAGGCAAACCTACGGATAGCGTTCCGATGCCTCAGTAAGGAATCATTTAAGACTCTGTATACCATTTACGTCAGGCCCATACTGGAGTATGCAGCACCAGTTTGGAATCCACACCAGGTAAAGCACGTCAAGAAATTAGAGAAAATGCAAAGGTTTGCAACAAGACTAGTCCCAGAGCTAAAGGGATTGTCCTACGAAGTAAGGTTGAGGGAAATCGGCCTGACGACACTGGAGGACAGGAGGGTCAGGGGAGACATGATAACGACATATAAAATATTGCGCAGAATAGACAAGGTGGACAAAGACGGGATGTTCCAGAGATGGGACACAGAAACAAGAGGTCACAATTAGAAGTTGAAGACTCAGATGAATCAAAGGGATGTTAGGAAGTATTTCTTTGTCATAGAGTAGTCAGGCCGTGGAATAGCCTAGAAAGTGACGTAGTGGAGGCGGGAACCATACATAGTTTTAAGGCGAGGTATGATAAAGCTCATGGAGCAGGGAGAAAGAGGACCTAGTAGCAATCAGTGAAGAGGCGGGGCCAGGAGCTATGACTTTCCCCCTGTAATCACAAATAGGTGAGTACAAATAGGTGAGTACACACACACACACAACACACACACACACCCCACACACACACACACACACACACACACCCCACACACAGGAGATCATAACAATGGAAGACATGCCTCGGGGGCTGGAAATATTCAGATCAAGTACTTTCGCATGTCTCCATGCATCATCAGGAACTATACAATGTTGCACGTAGCTCGATCACTTTGCCACTCAGCTTACACACTGAGGTCCGAGCATCAAATCCCCGGTATGACTGGAAAACATTAAGACGCATGTTACGGCCCCCTACCAAACTAGCGGTTAAATGGTTAACCTGCCAGCCGGCAGTACCACTGGGTACGTCATCAAACCCAATGTGGGGAAATACTGAGCAGCTTTAGAAGCAGTAAGTACCTGAACACCTCACGGTACGTTATCTAAGCAGTAACTACCAGAACACCTTACGGTAGACATCTACTGGCAGTAGAGTGTTCGTCTGACCGTCTTAATATATATATCTACTGGCGTTAGAGGAAGCGCTCACCGCAGCTCACTGAGTCTGTTGGCCTAAATTACTTGACGGCCGCATTCAGTGAGCTTGCAGCATGGTGTTTTACAAACACTATTTATCAACTGGTCTTGAAGGCGGTAGGAAGTGCTCACCAGACCACCTTACGGTGTACTTCTACCAGCCTTGGAGAGTATGTAAAGGACAGGTGATGTCTGCAGACTCACCGCCTATGCTGGTCAACTGTGGGCCGGAGTCATCGGATGCTGTTGAGAAGAAAAGGGTGTAGTGTGACACTAAAGAAGTTACAGTTATAGTGTACATTGAATATTGTCATGTGACTGGCCTCGAGAAAGATGCTGTGTGAGTGTGTCACTGGGTGTCAAGGGTGACACAGTTGTGTATGACGCAGAGAAAAGGGTGTTGTGTGACACAGAGAGTAGGAGCATCAACACAGAGAAAAGGGTGTCAAGGGACACAGCTGAGATGGAGCATCATTACACAGATAAGTGTCGTGTGAGACACAGGGAGTGTCACAACTCGGATAAGTGTCGTGTGACACGGAGCGTCATTAGGGTGTCGTGAGACACTGAGTTGACTGTAATTTATTATTGTACAAATGTTATTAATAATTTATTATTTTAACATGTATGTATATTTTAAATACCTCTTGACCAAAGATTGTTTTTTATATAATATTAAAGATTAGTTTATTTTAATGTGAATATATATATCCCGAACTTTTATATTACTAACGCTAATGTAAAACCTGATTGGTGTTTTTGTAATATATGGGGGCCTGTCCGGGAGGATAATGATTATCAAGAATGATTTCTGGGATGATCTTATCCGGGATGACAGTTTGAGATACATGATACATATTACATTAATCTTTGTGTGTCGGTCTTTTTGTGGTGGGGGTGTTACGGCCCCCTACCAAACTAGTGGTTAAATGGTTAACCTGCCGGAAGGCAGTACGACTGGGAACATCATCAAACCCAATGTGGGGACTGCTGAGCCAGGTTTAGAAACAGTAAGTACCTGAACACCTCACGGTACGCATCTAAGCAGTAACTACCAGAACACCTTACGGTAGACATCAACATTTATTTCCCCCCACTGAAACTCCCCTACCCCCTTCAGCTTTGTTTCGCTTAGGGCCAGGACATCCAACTTCTTTTCATTCATTACATCAGCAATCATCTGTTTCTTGTCATCCACACTACATCCACACACATTTAAGCATCCCAGTTTTATGAAGTTTTTCTTCTTCTCTTTTTTCGTAAATGTCTACAGGAGAAGGGGTTACTAGCCCATTGCTCCCGGCATTTTAGTCGCCTCATACGACACGCATGGCTTATGGAGGAAGATTCTTTTCCACTTCCCCCTGGACAATAGAAGAAATAAAGAAGAACAAGAGCTATTTAGAAAAAGGAGAAAAACCTAGATGTATGTATA